GTTTCAAAATAAATGTTGACAAGTAAATAACTTATTTTTCATGTTATTTTAAAACTAATTTGACAATAATATAATAAATCCAAATAATTCTGAGGATTCTGCAAGTAAACAGTGTTGCACATTTTCAAAAAAAAGTTATATGTCTTAAAAACAGCTATGAGATATATGTTTTCAAACGTGACCGAAGGAGGGTTTGGAAGCTAGAAGAGGAAATTTGTACAGTACATATCCAACTGCCATTGCAACCACAAACATATCCGCAATGTCTTCATGCTGGTAAGAATTCAAATTCTGAGTTAATCCCCTAATTTGGAAGTATAAATAAATCCATTGCCTATTTTAAAAAAGTGGGAGTTCCAAAGTGTTGCATTAAATCTTCTCACAACCTGGCAAGAGATGAAACGTTTGTACCCAAATCTGTTCAAACTTTGGAAAACAATACCAATTATTCCATCCATTCGGTCAAAGTAGATAACTCAGGGAATATAGACTTCAAAATCTTTGCAGCTTATTTTACGCCGAAGTATCGACTAGTTTGACATGGACCAACGTTATATAGCCGAATGTTGTGGGTTCGAATCCCGCACGAGACACTGATTTTTTCATTTCACCAAGACCTTACATAAAAACAATGATTAATTGAAAGAAGTAATTTGGTCAATCAGGCTACTTAACTGAATGGGTTGTATTTATTTTATTTACTTGAAATATAATTGAAAACAATATAATACAAAGTAGAGATAAAAGTGTAACACAAAATATGTTTAGCATAAAACTTGGTTTGCATAAAATACGCATAACAAATCAACTCACCTCGCTTTGAACATCCACGACTGCTTTTTTTTATTACTTTTTTTACGAGGGTTCGGAACAGCAGAGGTCATAAAAACCCTCAGGTTGGCGGTGATTTTGAAAAAAAGCCCATTTGTAAGTATGTCGGGTTCGAATGCAGGGCCGGTGGATTCGAACCCGGGACTTTTACCTTACTGTGATGTGCGCCGTTTCAACGCCTAACCGTTGCCGCCACCGACGCCTCCACGACAGCTTTTATGACGTATAACTATCCAAATAATATTACAAAAAAATGTTGTAAACTTTTTTGAAGTACCTTTTATGTTTGGTTTGGCGTAAATAATGTTTGCATTCTGTTCATGAGATTGTAATCAAACACAAGTGGGATTGTTTCGGATAGTTAAGACAGCCCGTCTGAGTAAGTTAAATCTCGATGCGCTAACCGTGTAAAGTAGCAATTAACCTTCTAATTAATAAGGGTTTCAACTTGCCCTTAAACTATAACCCTTAGCTCATTTAGTAATTTTCCGCACTCCGCAGAAGAGCTTATTTCTCAATTCTCTCTTTTCGTTAAAATTTAAAATGACAAGTTAAACGTACTCAGAGAAATTTAAAACCACTTATTACCCTTAACTACGACCATTTCAGTAGAGAGGTAGAAATTTCGAAAGAATCTGACCTCATTAAACATGTATTACATGCTCGGCGAGATAGGGGCATCCTAATTAAAAGGCACATTAAGATTAATTTAGATTGGAACCGCAATGGGGGATAGATTGCGTCAACACTTTCTCCCTATTGTATTTTTGCCAAACCGAATGATATAAAAGTTGTCGCAAACGAACAAATCCAAAATCACTGAGTTCAAAAAGTACATTATTTAAAACTCATGCGTAAATGTATTTTTGCAAAGAATATAATGTTTATATGTAACAAACATTTCTAGAAAATCATTATTCATAACAAACACAATTGAAACATCATATTTAGTAAAATATGAATTCAGATATTTTGACGGAAAAATAGATTGTGAACTGATTATTCTTAAGAAGATTGATAGATAGATATGTGTTAGTCGTGGTGCATATTTTACAGCGCCCTTTAAGAGTTATTGAATCCCCCGTTTGTGCTTAAAGCAAAACTGTAAGTCCTACTTTGTCAAGGAACTTGATTAGTATGTTCTATTTCAGGAATTGAATTTTGTCTACGGTTGTATGTCAAAAAATAATTCCTCCTGCTGGTGTAGCACACAGTTAGTTAGTAGGTGTATTGGAATCTCCTTTGCTTCTTGGCAGAATCTGGACGTGCCGTTTTAGATTATTCAGATGTTCATTTAGTTTGCAGTGTCTTGTTAAGAATCCTGTTAGTATTCGCAGTATTTTACTATTTCCTTTAATACAATCTGTCATCTCTTTCCATCCAAAGTTTGTTAGGATTTTCGTACATTGTTTGTGCCCAACGAATGAGTTCCTTGTTCCCTCATTTTCTTTTTATCCTTTTGTTTGAGGTGCTCATTGATGTGTACTTCTAGCCCAAAGAATGGTTATTCTTGAGAAACAATTGATCATCTTGTCAAAATTGGACATCTATCAGAAACCCCAAATCTGAAAGCACAATTATTATTTGTGAAATTAAAATATACTAAAGTTTTCATTATTTACCAGCGTCAAGAAATATCACTTTACTTATATAACGGTCATATTATTGAGACATAAGGCTTTTTATTTATGCAACGTTTTTCTAGGATTTTGTGAGGTAATGAAAATATATGTTATTTGCTATCGATTGTGTCCGTATGCCTCTCCTTACTGGATTGGATTTTCAGCATTTCGCTATTTCCATATGTCTGTGTCGTTTTAATTTTTGGTTTAAAATTAACAAAAAGAGACCGCGGTAGCCGAGTGGTTAGTGTGGTAAATTCTCGGCTATATCCTGGTGGCTAATATGCATAGTTTATAAGGGCATTAAAAAATGATTCTCTATCTAGGTTGACTTCTTTTTACTATTTAATATTTCGTGTTCAGCTTCGTAAGTCTATTAATAATTTTTTCATTTATATTGTCGATGGACTAGTATGTAAATCGTAAAATGTGAATGTATATCAGTTTAAAATGACTAAATAACGACACTAGATGAGTGCCGTTTGAAACATAATACGAATAAAATGTCGACAACTTTGGAAAATGACAAAATGGGGCAAAACGACAAATTTGGCTTTTTCTCATTTTCTAATTTCATGACTTTTTACAATTGGCAACCATTTATTATAGTATAAACTGTTTATTCAGCCTAGTTTACTCTAACAAATCTTATAATATGTTTATAGTACGAATAAAATGTCGACAACTTTGGAAAATGGCAAAATGGGGCAAAACGACAGATTTGCCTTTTTCTCACTTTCTAATTTCATGACTTTTTAAAATTGGCAACCATTTCTTATAGTATATACTGTTTATTCAGCCTAGTTTACTCTAACAAATCTTATAATATGTTTATAGTACGAATAAAATGTCGAAAACTTTGGAAAATGACAAAATGGGGCAAAACGACAAATTTGGCTTTTTCTCATTTTCTAATTTCATGACTTTTTAGAATTGTTAACTGTTTCTAGCATGGAATGAATTAGAATCAATACGGCAAATAAATTAGAATCTTTGAGAATCCAACGAACGTCGAAGAGCCACTGTGACATGCATTTTGGCCACATTAAGCTTTCAGCCTGTAGTGAGGGCGAGCTGACTGTACAGAAAGTACATTTTTTTTAATTTACAGTAGTTAGAACTACCTTCATGTAGGTCACAAGTAACAATGAGCAAGATAATATATACAAAATTAAAAACAAGAGTGGAAAAAATAAAAATTGGTATTACTCCAATGATACTAAAGTATTGTATGTTCAATTGATATTTATTTGTGTCATTATCACTTTCCCTATCATCAACACCACATTCTAGGAGATCTCGCGGCCATTGTCTCTTCAGTTGAGGTTTCCCTTCGAGTTCCAGAGCAACACTCTTACGTCTTAGTCACTTAGGTTGCATTTTCCCCACCTTACTCCTCATCGTACCATTGATCCTTGGATCGGTCCCGTTGACGCAGGGGTGTTCCGTTACACCATTTCTAAATGTTTGCCTTAAGCAAAGAACTGGTTAGAGAATTACGACGAAATGATCAATTCCGTTAATAGCCAGTCTTTCCGCCAGAAAATATCCCAGTAAATGGTAGATGAATATCTTAATTATTTAATTTTATGTAAACCTAAATTTTCTAAGACATTTCTACGCTTTAAAAGAACAAAAAACAAATGAATTAATACAAAACGTCAACATAAATTAAAGTATTTGTGATTATTGATGTGCTTTTCTCAGTTTTTCACACTCTCATCAACATAGTTTCTTCCTTTCTAGTCTTACATGATTGGATCGTAATTTCGTACTTTTAAACTATACCGAATCAACTTCTGCTGTGGATAATGTTTGCAAAATTTATAAATAAACAAAATTAAAGCAGATTATCTTACTTAAAGAAATGGCTAGTCTTTCTGGGAATGTTTCTATTTTATTTGATCATATTTACTAAACACAACAAATACTAAGTAATATCTTTTGTCATTAATTTTTTAGTTTACATCTTTCACTTCGATCAATTATGTATAAAAGGTCGAAACCCGCAATGTTTAATGATATGGCACAATGTTGGTCCATAATGTAGTTTTTAACATTCACCAAGTTAATTGCAGTTCTTTTATTGAATTTTAGCAACCAACTGGTGATTATTAAGTTCATGGAAAATAAAACCTGGTAGTTGTAGCCTGTGGAATATCCACTACCTTTTCCTTTCCATGACAATTATATTATATAAATAAATTACACATAAAAATAACGTCAGTAGATATGAAATATATAAATTATTCCTATTTGGAGATCGTGAGGTTCCGTCTGGTGTCACGTAGGTTTAAGAAAAACATATTCTTTATCACGTCAACGTTTCGATCTTTATTGAGCCCGGAAGATGATCTCAATAAAGTTCGAAACGTTGGCATGATAAAGAAAATGTTTTTCTAAAACCTACGTCACACAGGACCGCACCACACGATCTCCAAATCATCATTGGCTAACGGTCACTAAACACCACACATAAATTATTACATTTATATAAATTTCAGATAAATTCTTAAATGATCTGAATTAATTAAATATGTTTTGCAGGGCTTGAAGTTCATAGAAAGCGAGGGAAACGTAATGTGAACCGATACAGGAGGTATGTAAACCAACCTATACAAACGAACAATAGATGTGTGAATATGTTAGTTAAATTATATAAACTGCCTATTCAGGCTAGATTAAAACCAGTTTTCATTTGTAGGCATGATAACGCGATAATTGCATTCAGTGCGAATTATCCGATTTGAGCGTAAGGCTATTTGGAAACAAACGCCGTGATTATTAATGAAATGATAATTGCCTTTTTTATCCTCGGTATCGATTTATACATACACCTTCTTCCTTCCAGGTAGCTATTACCAACCTATTCAATTCAATGGAGAAAACGAGGGATAGGAGCTACTATTAATTGAAACCCCTCTTGGGGCTATAATTGTAACTAGTTTCCCCATGACATCATGTCTTCAGGGAGAAACTATTATGTAAGTCATAAGGTCACGACTCAGTATATCCAGCCGAGTCAATTCGTGATAAAACAAACGAACGCTTATTTAAAATCCTTCCTTAAACCTGTCATATGTCTTCTTTAAAATATTAAATCAGTCCATTGGTCGTTGTTTATGTCGGCCGAAAACTTGTGTTCTAAAGGGAATACTTTGGGGAGGGTTATTCCTCCCTTAGTGGAATAGATCGATTTCCTTCTTCTGCACACGGTGTTTTTCTATAAAATAAAATTATGAAAAAAAAACCTTTTCAGTTCGTTAGTTGTCAAATTTTAAATGAATAAGCCTGCAGGTAATGGTTAACTCTCTATGTATAGCTAAAAACAATTACACACTAATTTTATTTTTATTGTGTTAATAACAGAAATAATAGTTCTCAAAGATAAATATTAAAGATATAGTATTACAAAAATCCGTTATTATCTATTAATTTAATTTAGGTCGAATTTATTAATCAATTAATTTTTCTTGAAGAACTAATAAATAATACAAATTCAGACAATATTATAGCGTCCGCTAGTATATTCAGCGAAATTACATTAATTAAATCTATACTTTATTGAAGTTATTTCAGTAAATGATGGCAAAATATGACAAAAAATTTAATTTTATTTTGTGTGGTGATTAGTGACCGTTGATCGATATTTATTTAGAGATCGTGAGATGCGGTCTGGTGTGATGTAGGTTTTAGATAAACATTTTCTTTATCGTGCCAACGTTTCGATCTTTATTGAGATCATCTTCAGGGCCTGGGATTTAAAAATATTGTTTACATATTACAATTACATTTTGGATGTGGAATTTATACAATGCAAAAAATTGAATATTGATTGAATATATAAAATAGATATTTTGCATTGTATAAATTCCTCCACATCCAAAATGAAATTGTAATATGTAAACAATGTTTGTAAATCCCAGGCCCTGAAGATGATCTCAATAAAGATCGAAACGTTGGCACGATAAAGAAAACCTTTTTCTGAAACCTACATCACACCAGACCGCATCTCACGATTTCTAAATAAATTTAATTTTATTGTTTGGTTAATAGATGCAAGCTGTTAGCCGGGTTGTTTTGAGCCATGGGCATTCACGTAGATTGGTTGATAATGCCAAAAAGAATTCAACTTCTCTTTGTTCATTCGATGTAAAAAGTTCGATGTAACAGGGACGAATTGTTTCACCCAACGTCATTCATGAGACGAGATTTTGATCGAAAAGACGGTTCACAGCTTATGACTAAATACCTAAAACGATATCGACTCATCTTTCAAAATAAATAATGATCTCGTGCCTCTTAACCTCTTGAACGCCCCTGTTCGGTAATTAAATCAAAAGCCATGAATATTTCGCCCATGTCACTAAACGGTTGAGTGCTTGTCGGATTGATACGGTCATCAAGATTCTACGAGACAGCGAAGAAATTATAGCATTAATTTTTAATTAACAGTGATAAATAGGCTGTCCCGAAAGGCTAATGGGAAGCGATTTTCATCATTAAATTCGAAAAGAAGATCTTTGAAATTTTCCCACAATTAACTACCAATAACTTTTTTTTACTAATTACAAATTTGTGTATCAAATTTAAATAAAAGTAATATGATACATGTGTTAATGTTAGGGCTCGTACAGTTAGTTATATACTTAAAAGCAAATAAATGTCTTACTTAATTAACTCATTTAACTTTTACCTGCAGCTTCCATGCTCTAAATTTTCTATAGGAATGATCATTTATGCAGAATTAGTGATAGTTTTGTGCTGATGAAAGTAAGATTGAGATGTTTAAACCGGGTTTATTATCTATCCGTAATAAAAGAAATAAAACGAAAACGAGGACAATTAATACAAACAAACAATTATATATAATGAAAACAACCCCACAAACGTAGAGGCAAAACTTTGATCAATCAAGCAATGCAATATTTATGAGACAATAATCCACAGAAACCTACTCTCTCGAATACCGGCTAACACTGCCAAAATCTGCCGAATTTCCAGTTGGAGCAAAGCCACCTTAATGGCAAGAGACAATTTAATTATACTTAATTAAAGTTCACAAATCGTAACAGTTGTAAATTATTCTTAAAATTTGAAAACAAGCTACAAATAGAAACAATATATGTTTGCATATGTAAACTGGATATTGCTTTTCGTGCTATAAATTGGGGAAATTATCCCTTTGTTTTTTAGATATTCGCTAACGATGACACAATAAATTATCTGTAAAATATAGAACCAATTATATTTGCAATTATTTAAATAAGTTTGTGAACTATTAATTCTTAATAGCAAGTTGAGTTCAATACATGCATATTTATGACTTTATGAAGGATTACCGACCAGAAACTAATTTCCCCTAGACGATTGTCAACATAATTAAATTAATACGATTTACAATAACACCTCGGCCTGTAGGCTAGAATTGTCAAATGAATTCAGGGGCCGGCTCAAATGGGGTTTCGGAAGGAACATCCAAGTTTAATACTGCGGACATCACGTACCACAATCCGGAGCCAAGTTCAACATTATTGTCCTGCTTTCCACTCCAACAGGAAAAAATTTATACTATGTTAGAGAAACATACCGAGAGCCATCCCGTTTTCTTGAAATACCGTTATTACTTTGGCTAATGTTCTATAAAATTGCACTGACGAATAAAGATCACATGTCTGCAACTAGGTCTTATTGATCGGAAAACAAAATTTTTTATGATTCAGTGGCAAGCATGTTAAACCTGCATAGCTTTCGGTTGATTTTAAATAAAAAATTTAAAAGTACAGGGCTAAATGGCAACAAAAGACTGTAAATCCATTCACCCTTTTTAATTAATTTTTCATTATTACACTTTCTAAACAAGTTTTCTTATTTATACACCTATTTATTTAAAATAAGTTATTATGTTCTTCGTATAAATTAACGCTACTTTTGTAAATAAACTTTAAATGTAGAATCCCAAATTTCTGGTTTTCCAAATTTGAAAGGTTATGATTTTGCTAAATGAAATTGATGAAATATTAAAATTTTCTAAACATTAGCAGATATTTTTGAACATTAATTTATAATAAATAAATTTATCATAATTAATCTTCTCAACCCCCTACAATCTGGCTTCCGCCAAGGTTATTCCACTCAATCAGCATTAATAAAAATTACCAGTGACCTCCACTTAGAAATGGACCAACGGAAAGCTACTATACTTGTCCTTCTTGATTTTTCTAAATCCTTCGATTCTGTCCCTCACTCTTCTCTCCTCTCTAAACTCCAATCTTTTTCCTTCTCCGCCAGCATCATCCGTTGGTTTCAATCCTACCTTACCAATCGCCACCAAGCTGTCTCCCTTCCCAATGGCCTTACCTCCTCCTTCCTCCCTCTAAAATCTGAGGTGCTCCAAGGCTCTAGCATCTCTCCTATCCTGTTTTCCATTTATATCAATGATCTGCCCGACTCCATCCAGTCCTGTAACTGTCACCTATATGCCGATGACTGCCAAAAATACATATCCTTCCACCTTTCCGATCTTCACTCGGCCATTCTCAAGAACCAAAAAGAAGAACCTAAACTCCATCAAAGAATGGGCCCATAAAAATTCCCTAGTCCTCAATCCGTCCAAATCCACGCCATAATTATCGGGTTCAGGCAACTTTTCAATTCCCTCCCCAACATCCTACCTCTCATGCTAAATAACCATCCCATCCCCTTCTGCTCTTCGGTTAAAACCCTGGGAGTAGTCTTTGACCAAAACCTTTCCTGGCATTCTCACATTTCCCAAATTTCCCGCCATTCCATTGCCTCCTTCAGCCTGTTTTGTCGGTCCTGGCTTCTCTTACCTTTCTCCACCCTCAAACTCGTTGTATCTTCCCATATAACGCCCTTCCTCGACTACAGCTCTATGGCATTCGGTGGTCTCTCGGAAGGGGAAAACGCGCTACTGAAGCGTATTATTAATTGTTGAGTAAGATTTGTGTACGGCACCCCAGGGGGATCCCGGGTGTCGAGGTTGTATTTCCAACTTTCCTGGCTATTTCACTCCTTCCGTGCACAATATTTCCTACGTTGCTTTCTTTTCCAGTCCATCCACACTCGTCGTCCTCCTACATCATCGAATCCCTCCAATTCAACTCCTCACATCTCACTCGTAAGACCCGCTCATCCCCAATCGACTTTATCCTTCTGCAACATACAACCCATACCTTCGAAAGATCCTTTCTGATCCGAGCCCCTAAATTCTGGAACTCCCTTCCTCTTTCTATTCACACTGCCTCCTATTCCTCCTTTAAATCCCACCTGTATAATCACCTCCTCTCCCTCCAAGCAGAGACCTCACGTTGACATTTGTTATTTTTGTTTAATATTCTCTTCTGGCCTGCCTTACTGCTATACATTGTGCCAAATTTCTATTATTTTTTTAATATTTTTTTTTACTTTTAACTTCATAGAAAGAATTTCCTTTATTTATTTCATGTAAATTATTCTTAGGGGCCACCAGTCCCAGAATAAAGTTATTTTTCTTCTTCTTCTTCTTCTTAAATCACAATAGTAGATTCATTTAAAGTACCAACCACATTTTAAATTACGTTCCATTTATCAATTCCC